CAGTCTTGATAAATATTAACAACACTTCACTGTGCCTGCAACAGCCCTCACCATCCTCTGAGATCTGGCTTCAAACATCCAGTCTTATCTCCTAATCTACCCCTTTAAGGGAGCCCTACCTCCCTTCCTCCTCGTCTTTGTTCCCAGTGCTCCCTCCTTCCCTTGCATCTCTCCACACCCAAATCCGACCCGCAGGGCTGCAAGTCAGTGGTGCTATATAGCATCTACAGTGGAATATAGTCTGCAGATGGGTTCACAGTGGGGGGCTTGGGGGGTTTGGTCTTTTAACTGAATTCATTACCGAGAGGAGATTTCACATACGTATTCTGACTACAGCAGGCTATACTGGCTGCTGACCCAACAGCCATGCTCCCCGTCATCCCTGGTATTGTTTGGGTGTCTGCTCAAGGAAAGTGGGTCCACCCCAGCAGATGAATCATGTCAACCTGCTTATCTTTGCAGGGACTGGCCTGGGGTGGCTATTGGGTCGGTCAGGGCTCTGAGCTACAGGCAACAGAAAAAAAGCTCTGGGTGTTTAAAAAGAAAGCAGTTTGGGGGCGCCTGGGTGGCGCAGTCGGTTAAGCGTCCGACTTCAGCCAGGTCACGATCTCGCGGTCCGTGAGTTCGAGCCCCGCGTCGGGCTCTGGGCTGATGGCTCAGAGCCTGGAGCCTGCTTCCGATTCTGTGTCTCCCTCTCTCTCTGCACCTCCCCCGTTCATGCTCTGTCTCTCTCTGTCTCAAAAATAAATAAACGTTTAAAAAAAAAAAAAAAAAAGAAAGCAGTTTGTTACGTGTTAGAAGCCAATTGACGGTAAAGTTGATGAAGCTTAAGCTCTGAGGTCCTCACTGGCATGGCCCCCTGTGAATGTTCTAGGTTAAGGAAGGGAAGACAGGCTACAACCAATGGTCATTTCTACATGAACATTTTTAGATCTAAAGAGATCTAGAAGAAAGGGATCTAAACCTCCCAAGGTCCAGTATTTGGTATGACTTCTCTACTCACTCTAAATAAATGTCTTCTTTCATACTTACTTTTCCATGTTGATGAATTAGATGATCTAGATGTTATAATTACAGTCAAGGATTTAAAGCAACTGTTATAGCTATGCTCAGAGTGGTAAATGATAATATGCTCATATTGAATGAACATGTAAGAAATCCCAGTAGAGAAATACAAACTATAAAAAAATAATACAGAACTAAATGGAAATTCCAAACTAACAATTCAAATATTGGAAAGGAGGCTGGAAAAGTGAGTCTCCAGGATTGTACCCTGGAGGGGGAGGGAGGATCAGGAGGCTAAAAATTCTTCAAACATAGCCATGCTGTTCAAATGGTATCAGACAGTCAGAAAACATGGCAAATGTCCTCTAAAGGCTGTGACCCAGTTCTGTCTAATGAAACAAAATGGAAAGTGTCCTGGTAAAACGAGAGAAAAATAAGAGAAAGGATGACCTCCTCCACTCTTCTTTCTGCCTTGAACTGCTGTATCATGAGAACATGATGATGCTTGGAGCTATGGCAGCCATTTTGCAAACTTGAGGAGATGTAGTGAGAAGGGTAACACAGAAGCTAAAGCTGGAGCCCTGATACTGCAGATCTGCTAAGCATACCATGGAACCCCTCACATCTGGATTTACTGTCATGTGAGACAATAAACTTTTCTTAATTGGGTATTTGTCACTTACAGTCAAAGTTAAACTGACTAAAACACAGCTTCTCTTGAAAATGGAGAGATCTGGGGGTATTTAGGTGGCTTAGTTCAGTTAAGTGTCAACTCTGGATTTCGGCTCAGGTCATGATCTCATGGTTCATGAGATTGGATAGTGTTGGGCTGTCAGGCAGGGCTCTGAGCTGACAGCATGGAGCCTGCTTGGGATTCTCTCTGTCCTCTCTCTCTGCCCCTCCCCCTGTGCTTGCACATACACTCTCTCTCTCAAAATAAATAAATAAGCTTAAAAAAAAAAGGAGAGATGTGTGAATACCAGACCTACTAGCCTCTTAGACAGGGCAGGAACTCTCTAGTCACTCACTCACTTGGCCCCCACAGACAAGTGAGTTTGCCATCCCTGCCTTATGTATCTTTTGAGAGATGATTCAACTGCCTTCTTTCTTACAAAGCACTTCCTGTTTCCAGCCTCCCTGCACCCCAACCCCACCTAGCTAGAAGTAATCTTCCTCTCCTTGGAATTCCCACAGTTTTGTGGTTGTGTCTATCTCCTGTTGTAATTGTGCATTTCATCTCCTCCCACTTGGCTGTCAGCCTTCTGAGGGCAGGAACCACACATTATTCATCCCTGTATCTTCCTCTGCCATCTAGCGAAGTGCTGAACAGAGGAGACACTCAATGTATGTCTTCTAAATAAATGCATAAACACCCCTTGCAGTGAAAAATGTCAGTGTTCTGAAATATCCTAGTCTTCGAGCTCACCAAGGAGCTTTTACCAGGTGATGTGTGCTGCTTCTCAATGTAGGAAAGCAATATCCACCATACTCCAAAACTCCAGTGACCCCCGGATCTGAACCCTGCTCAGCCCTCAGCCCCAGTCATCCAGGGCACACCTGTAACAGTCCACTCTGAGGCCTGGGCCGGCCTCGGCTCTCCCTTTACTCAGGACAGTAAGACCTTCCCCAGGGTTGTCTGTGAAAAACAGCCAGTCACCACAAACTCCAGCAAGGGATGGAAATTTACACACATGCAAATCTCCCCATTTTACTAAAGAGAAAGGCCAGGCAACCTGAAAACACATACTTCGATCACAGTTCCAAATTGGAGGGAAGGCAGCTCGCAGGTTCTGCCCTAGAGGGCTGTGTCCTACAGAGGACAAGGACACTCAGAGCACCTCAAGTTGCTAACAAATCCTGAGGAGCACGACTTCCTTTTATACCCATTCTGGATCTAATTTAACCTTACACATGCTTCTTGAACTGGCGGTTGATTTTTAGTTCCAGCTTTTGGTAGATTCTCTGCTGGCACCTATTTATTTTATTTTATTTTATTTACTTATTTATTTATAGTCATGGTAAAAGTCACATAATATAAAAATTTCCCCTTAGCCATTTTGAAGTGCACAGTTCAGCAGTGTTAAGTACCCTCACACTGTTGTGCAACCATCACCACTGTCCATTTCCTGAACTTTTTCATCCTCCCAAACTGAAACTCTGTCCCCATTACACACTAACTTTCCACTGCCCCTTCTCCTGGGTCCTGGCAACCACCATTCCATGCTCTGTCTCTACGAACTTGATGCCTGTAGGTACTCCACATACGTGGCCCATACAGTACTTGTCCTTTTGTGCCTGGCTTATTCACTCAGCATAATGTGCTCACAGTTCACCCATGTTGTAGCCTGTGTCAGAGATTTCCCTCCTTTTGAATGCTGAATAGTATCCCATTGCATGTATATACCACATTTTATCCACTCATCCGTCAGTGACACCTGGGTTACTTCCACCTTCTGGCTATTTGTGAATAATGCTACTATGAACCTGGGTGTACAAATACCCGTTTAAGTCCCTGCTTTCAATTCTTTTGTGGACCTGGACTTTGACCTTCCCCAAATCAGTCAAGATCCCAACCTTGGCATGGAATTCCCTAGGCCAGTCTCTATCCCAATGGGAAAGAAAGAGAAGCCCAGGCTGGGCTCTCAAGTGATACCACGAGAAACTCTCTGGAGCCAGAGGTGAACTGGCTGGGAACTTCAGAGCAGGATCCTGGCCCCTCCTGATGGGGATGATAAGACAAGTGAATCAGGGACGATGGAACAAGAAGCAAAAAAGAGTGGGATGTCCCCTCTGCCTCTGCGGGAGGAAACACATACCACTGCACGGAGGAGAGGAGCAAGACAAGGAAGGCCTCTGTTCCCCAAAAGGGCAGGCATGCCGCAGAGGAGGCCCCAGAGGTTCAAAAAAGGGCAGCTCGGGCTGCAGGGGCAGAGGTTATGAAAAGGGTGGGGATGCCCAGACTGGTGCTATTCAGAAGACCTCAGTTACAAGGGTCCCGGCATGGGGATGGGGAATGGGGGAGGAAGGGAGGGGATGCGGGAGTCTGGAATGCTCTCATTTGACAGATGGTCCCCAGCTCAGTCAACTCCTTAAGTACAAGAGGCACAAAAGCAGAAATCCAAAGGGCCAGTGGGGCAGGGGCTTAATGCTGCATTGTGGGTCTATAACTTTGGTCTTTAGGGTTAGGTGCTTTCAAATTTTAGTGGGAGGGTGGGCAGATTACAGCTGTGGGCAAAAGCAGGCTCCGGACACCTGTGAATCCCTCTCCCTGTCTGCTGTAAGCACCTTTCAACTGGCTACCTGATAGCTTTTGGTGCCCAAGTGTCTAGGTTCAGGTACCAAATGATGACAGCGTGGGAAGGGTATAGCCACTAAAGGGAAAACTGATTGCTCTGTGGAACTCTGAACATCTTCAGGTATAGAGATGACCTAAAGCACCTTTTCAATGTCAGGACGAAGGTACAGACTTACCTTAGGGCTCTCATTTTTGCCTGGATCAAACTTAGGGGCTCTGCTGATACCCAAGGAGCCAAGGGGGACTACTGGTGGAGGCACAGCTTCAAGGCCCTCCCCCTTGGTGACTCCAACACAAGGAGCTTCCCTGATTAGATGCAGATGTTCCTGAAACCCTCCCAAGCAAACTGGGGCCCCGCAGGAAGAACTCAGAGGCAAGCTGTCCCTTTAAGTCCAGAAAACTCATGTTCCAGATTGTTCTGGGATCCCAAGAGTCTGTGAGGTCAGCCTGGACTTGGCCACAGTGACATATGGGTCTGAAGCCAGATCAAGGTGCCAAGGAGCCTGTTGGCTCAGCTTTTTACTAATGCTGGAGCCAGAGCCAAAGATGGCCTGATGTCTCCATGTCCCAGTGATGCAATGTCCCCACCAGCACCTCTCCTGCATGCCATGCTCCAGGGCTGCGGAGAGCTGTGTATTATATAGGCTCTCGAGCTTGGGTACTCAGGGCAAAAGTCTCCACTCTGCTCCCTGGTACTGACCGGACTGATGGAAGAGCCCATTCACACTGAGATCCCACAGGAGGCCAAAGGCTCCTGAAGAAGTTTCTGGAGGCCATGTCAGTAGCTAGAAGGAGAAAAAAAGCAGGTTAGCTGGGTCATTCCTATAATAATAGTAATAAACCTTTATTATTCCATACCAAATAAATTCCATTTAACCCTCACAAGTCCACGTGGCAGAACGATATTGCCATTTTTGACATTTTACAGATGAGAAAAATCAAGCTCAGAGGGGTCAAGCAACTTCCCCAGGGTCACACAGCTAGTAAGTAGCAAAGCCAGAATTCAATCCCAGGCCAATGTGACTTGAAATCTCCTACTCTGTCCACCTCTCTGTATGAGAGTATCGGTCCTTCTGGCCCTTACTCCCTGTGGTCACGGCCATGCCCCCTCCAGGGCAGGGGCCAGTGTAGAGGAGAGAGAGAGTTCAAAAACACTCAGTACACTCAGCTGGACAATGACAAGACGGCTACTCTCCATGATCCTCGTGTCATTTCCGGGTCACTGCCTTAACTTACAGTCATCTTGGACCACTGGCTCTGGGAGGGACTTGGTACAGAATACAGATCCTCGAATAACCGAGTGGGGAGTGCAGGTTACCCACCTGACTCGAACTCACTGGGATCCTTACTTGAACGCTCCTTTAGTCTGAGGATCATAATCTGGGGATATTGAATCTGGAGAGAACATGACATGGAGAAAAACAGGGGGACAGCACCTTCCCCACCAGGGCCATCCTGCTCAGGGCCATCCTGGCCACAGATGGGGCCAGGCCTTAGGGGTGGGGCAGTGCCTTGGTGGCCCTGTTCCTGCCCATGGTTGGCCCTGCTGCATATTATACCATCCTTCTGAGAGTGCAGAGAAGAGCCTGCTGTGGTGGACGTGCTGGGCACGTTCCCTCTTCAGGCCTAAAGCTCTCATCCCCAGGGGCTGGGGGCTGGGGTTGTTGCTTGCTGAGAGTCCTGAGCTGAGTTCCTCTCTGGGCATTGAACTTGCAGGGTGGGAATGCCTCAAAGTCACACCCCCTCTCCAACTGTAGCCTTAGTCTGATAACTGGCCAATACCAGTCCAGAGGCCTGGACCTCTTGCCTCAACTGGGACAACTTTAAAGGGTCACCCCACTTTCAAAGCCCCCCGAAGAACTGACTGTGGGCTCTGAAATTTTCTCTGCCTGGCTGCTCTCCCTCAGAGGTGTGGCTCTTGGGAGGGATCCCCAGAGAAGCTCAGGGGAACCCCGTCTCAGAGTCGTCTTCCCAGGGATCTGACCTACACTACCAGAACTCTGCCTCCCTCTTCCTCTCATAGCTTCTTGTAACTTTGTCATAGTTATCATTTCCCAACAAGAATATGCATTCATTGAGAGCATATGCCACCTGCCTGACCAGCTTAGTAATTCATGAACACTAAGGCCAAAGCCCATTCACCCAGCTCCACTGCACACTCCACTGGGAGGAGGGAGGGTGGCAAGTGGCAGGACCTAGTCTCCATGGGAACTCAGTATGTCCTTCCCAAAGAAAACAGTTGAATGAGCAAGGTTGGAGAAATCTGCCTAGCTCACCCATCCCCTAGGTCTCAGATCAACCCCAGGTATACACAAGGGCCCCAGCAGCCCTGTGACCCTACTCACCTAGCTGCTTTTGATTGGACTTGGGGGGTGGGGGGGAGTTGTCACTTAACCCTTATTGGGCCAATAAGACTTTCCTTCCTGGGAATTGACTTGGCCATGGAGCCTGGGGAATAGGGAGAAACTAAGGCCTGTCCTAGGGATCCTAAGCCTTCCCCATCCTGATTCTAGCTTTTCTTGAGGCCCCACCCCTGGATCCCATGAACCACCCCTGCACCTTAGGAGAATCCCACTAGCAGCTCCAGGGAGCCCCCATGGATTTCTGCCTTCTTGCAACCATACTCCCCACTAAACAATGTGAAGTTCTGAAGTACGCTGAGCACCAACCATAGCCACATTCTGAGAATTTACTTGGGACACCATTTCCAAGATCCTTCTATCCCTATACTCTGTAGCAGGTACTCGAGCCATGCCTGGGAATGAATGAATATATAAATGCTACTTGTTACTAGAAAAAATACGTTTCAAGTGGAAAGAAAACCAAAACCTCCAAAGTGAAATATCAGAGTCCATCATGATAAGGCCCATAGTGTGGCCACATGGTCACTGTGCTTGGCAGACGTCAGCTGCCCTGCTCCTCCTTCCCTCTCTGGAGACAAAGATGTTGGGCAGAGTCTCCCCCAGAAGGCTCCCAGGGCCAAGTGCACCCCTTTCATTTATCTGGCTTAAAGCCGTTGGGAGAGGGAGAGCTTTTGTTTCTCCTCCTGAAGATGGAGAACAACAACCTCTGAGCTAACATCATCCCTTCCGGATGACGTCCAGGCCTTGGGCAGAGTTGTGCTGTGACCATAAGGACAAGGCAGGTCACAGGAATTCCTCATTTAATCTTCACATGGGACAGTTGGTCCCAGTTTACAGAGTAAGAAACTGAGGCATAGAGCTGACACTAAATAACCCGCCCAAGGTCACAGGGGAGTAGTGGCAGAGTTGGAACTCACAGCTAGTGCCTGTCTGGCCTCAGGGCTGGGTCCTCTGTTCTAGGGCCCCCTGCTGAGGTGACCAGGTGGGAGAAGAGATAGGGCAGGGCTCGCCCACTGCTCGCAGGCTGACTGATAGGGAAGTCACCCCATGCCGTGTCAGGGTCACACAAGGACCCTCTGTGGGCGACGTCTCAGATGGGTTCTTTGTGTCTCCCAATGCCTGATTGTGCATTCTGTCATATACTGTGCAAGGAGCAAAGAGAAACTGCACTGACAGGAGGCAGAGAATAATGGCCGCACTGTTCCCTGTTATTGGCCCTCCAGTCCCCACTGGGCCTGGAGGAGGGGCAAGGGCATCAGCCACACACTGGGGCCCCAGGAGCTGAGGGTGTCTTTTTCCTCTGGGGCAGGGAGGGAGGTGGAAAGGATCCCAGAGGGAAGAGGAGAGAGCAGGAGGGCCTTTTCTGGAAGGCAGCCAGTCTGCCCAGGCAGAGGAGTTCCTAGAACAATCCACCCAGCATGGTGGCTCTAATTTACAGCTGGGGTCCAGGCCCCAACTGGCAGGAACGGGACCAGCTGGAACTTGTGACCTGCCCATCCCCAGGCAGGGATGGTCCTGGGTGGGTGCCAAGGCCGGCACCCTCATGCCTTGCATTCAGATGACAGCAGCTGGTTCCAGGGCTATCCCTGCTGGGTTCTGTCTTTCTCAGGGCAAAGGTTTCAAGCCCAGGGCAGAACGCATGTACCCCCAAGGCAAAATGTTCCAGTAGCAAGAAGGGAAGAAAGGAGAAGACAGAGCAGCTGCTCTAGACTTCTCCAGAAACCCTAAACTCCACAGAGAGAGCCAAATGTTCAAACACTGGGGCACACCTAGCTGTAAATTCATGATGGCCCTCACACCTCCACAGGCACTGCAAGGCTACTTGTGGGACCAGGGCCAGGACCTGTGACTTGGGAATACAGAGGAGCCTGGACACAATGGAAGCACCTGCAGGGCAGAAAGTAGTCAGGGAGAGGCCTTCTGGTGGCTCAGGCAACACCCAGTGAGGCCCACACTCTAGGGGGAATGGAGTGAGACCCCTGAACTCTGTGATGACTGTCATCATAGCTCTCCTCCCTCTTTTTGGCAGACTGGGACAGACCAAGCAGCACCCAAGGCCAGAAGAGGGAAGTGCCCACTCCCCCCCTTCCCCCCATGCAGCCCTGACTGGGCTGTTCGGCCAGCATGCTCCCGCCACCTAGTGGCAGGTCTGTGCTCCTCACCTGGAAGAGCCACTGGAGCAGGGGCACAGGGCAGTCGGGGGTGTGTAGGTAGAGGTTGCTCAGGAGGCCACTGCGCAGGAAGGAGAGCTGCTGGGCCAGCGGGCAGCTGCGGAGACAGAGGAGTGAAGTTAGGGGAGGCCTCCACGCAGCCGGCCTGGCAGCCTCCCTCAACATGCCTGTCTCACGAAAGCTGTGGGGGATTTCCATATTTCAGCTTTACCAGATGCCAGAATCACATCAGTAACTGCTATGGACAAAAACGCTTGGAGCCCTTGATGCCAGGAGCTGTCAGAAGGAAAAACAACCCACACCATCACCAGAATCATTTGCTCTCCATGAACATCTCTCAGTGTTTTAAACATATGAATGGATGGTACATTTTGTCCTTTCCATTTGATGGAGGGGAAAACTGAGGTATTTACCAAGGTTGCAAAGAGGCTCTGTGTCGAGATGAGGAGTCACCTCTTAGCCAAGGGCCTGGGCTGCAATGGGCAGACAGAATTACCCTCGGGGCCCACGTGGGACCAGCGTCTGAGATCCAGTTACACTGAGCGTTTCTGACCTGTCTTGTGTTTTTCCGAAACAAAGGACACCTGAGAAGATGGGAAACTAACAGAAAGAGGCCCAAGATGGAGACATTCTGGGAAGGAAATAACAAACAAGGGTGTCACAGAAGATTCTCCAGGAACCATGTGAGTGAGGAGCAGAGTCAAGGTGGGGGGGGGGGGGCCGGGGATGGCACTCAGGCATACGGGACCCCGTGGGGCTACAGGAAGCTCTCAAAAATCAAACTGCCAGCATGGAGAGGAGCCTAGCTTTGAATACTCTGTGGCCCTGGTAGACCATCCAGACAAACAGGATCCCAGGTCCCTATAAAACGACTTGAACTATTTCACGTGGCCGTAGGGCCTCTGGTGGATGGTGCTTTCAGAGTCACTTCGGAGGGGCTGGCTGGGTTTCACCACCCTTCCTGGGTACCCCCAGGGAGGCTGGGTTTGGGGTAGGGTTCTCTGACCCTCTGCATTTTGTGAATGCTCCTTTGCTCTCTTGTTCTAAATGATGTCTCAAAGGTGATGAATATGGATTCCAGGAAATGAAGAAGTAACTTCATGTCTGTTCTCCTTTTTAATGGCCAGATCCATGCAAAGAACATTTCAGATAACTCTATTTCAGTCAATTTCAGATGACTCTAGATAGAAATTTCATCGGTAAGCCCAACCTTCTTCTCCTTTTTAAAAAGGACATATTTTAATCTGCCAGGAACAGAATGCTCCAAAAGATAGATTCTTGTCTGAGCCAAGTTGCTGTCTCTTTGAGTATGTCCAGGCAATTTACAAATTGTATATATATTTTTTTCCAAAATATTTAAGTTCAGGGGAGAAAGTGGCTTTGTTCCTATGTCTGTGAAGCTGACCACTCTAAAATAGACCTTTATTTGTACATACAAACACGTGTGCACCCCAGGGCTGCTGGCACACTCTGCTCTAATTCACGTGCTCGGTCACACAGACACTTTCATGGGCTGACCCCGCAATGCACGCATGGTTCAAGCACAGCACCCCGAACACAGACAATAACCAAGTGAACAATGCCTGGAAGACCTCACAGATTGACACGCCCTGGCCAGGAGCCATGTGGCAAGGAGGCTGGTACTCTGGAACTCTAAGGAGACTCTGGCTCTGGCATTCTGCTCAGGGGGCACCCCACCAGTTTCTCAGTAGGGGAATTGATTGTACAAGCCCCTGTTTGCTCAGATCATCACATTTCCAACTGCTGCTCTGAGGGAGAGATACCCTCTGGTTACAATGTCTCCTTTTTCGGCTCTGCCAGCCTCCCAGCAGCCCATTATCTGCCAGAGAAAAGATTAGGCTGCCTTTGAGTTCGCTGTTGCCCAGTTAGGTTTAGCCTATAAGACAAGGAGCAAGAGATAGGCAGAAAGGGCATGATCCAGCTGTGCCTTGAAAGGAATGGCTTTCAAGGAATTCTGTGCTTAGAGCTATGTGAGAGGCAAGGAATCTCCTGTGTAAGCTGGATCACAAGCCTAGTGTGTGCACGCTCGGTGAGGGCAGTACTGCTTCACCTCGGTGAAACCATGAGCCCTCTCCCTTCAATGGCAGGGATAAGGCTGATTGTGCAGACACTGCCCCGGATCTGTGATCTGCGGCAGGAGGGGGAGCCTGGAGGAAAAGGGTGGGGAAACTACGTGTATGTGTCCAAAGCTCATGCAGGTTACAGAAAGGTTACAGAATCAATTTTAAATTTGTGAAAATACCCACTTCATGTCCGCAAGCCAAGAACGCTGACCCTGGGTCCAACTGGGTGCCTTTGCCTGCTACAAAGCCAATCCTAAACTGGAAGTTATCCTGAGACTGTCAGAGGACCTGGGAGTGAGAAGGGGAGGGACAGAGCCTCCTGGGCAGCACATGCCAAGCAGGCCTGGCTGGGCGAGAAGCCCCAGCTGTCAAGTCTGAGGATCCCTGTGACAGGTTCCCACCTGGGATAAGAAGTAGCCACAGCCAGAATACTGTCCAGCCACCTGTGGCAAGGCACAGGAACAGAAGGAAGTAAGGGGGGGGGGGGGAGGAGTTTGGTGGTGGTGGAAATTGAGGGGAGGGGATTAGCCGAAAAAGGGAATCACACAAAACAAAGGACCAGCTTGGGTCAGCACGCTGGGCTCCTGGGCAGAGTTGTGACCTTCTACTTGGACTGTGTGTTCCCGATAACGCCTGAGTACACATTCCTCTAGCCTCTATATCTTCATCCATTTTTTGGGCAGCAGTCCCAGAGGGCAAAGGATCTAAATGCGCTGGGAATCCCAAGTGATGGCAGAGGGATAAGTACCAAGTGTAGTTATTTACACAGCATCAGTTTCTGTGTCTTTGCCAAGTTCCTCAAATGCAAGTTTAAGTCAAATGCCTCAGGAGAACAGAAAGGAATAATGGTCAGAGCCTTCATCCTTGCTCTTCCTCTTTTTCTTTCTTTCCTTTGTTTAAAGATGAGTGAGCACCCTCCAAAGGCAGAAGTCCAGGGATCCCAGCAACCACCCAGCTGGCTGCTTCCGCTGGCTCTTTACTTTTGGGGGCAGCCGAAGCCAGTTAGGCAGCTCAGCCCCATCCATACTCCGTAACTGCTGGATTTATTTCACCCAGGCTACAACCCTGGCATGCCGGTGAGACAGGGAAACCAAAGGGACCCCATGAGGAAGAAAGGTGTTTTTCTCCTTTGCTTCTTATCCTGTTTCTATCCTTGCTAGGACCTACACCCCCACCTCACTTTACACAGGCCTTGTAATGCAAATAGCTTACGGCCTCCCCTTAAGGGACCAGGAGTTAATGATTCTCTAGAACAAATAACACCTAAGGAAGGACCAGGTGAGAATTGAGGTAGCTATCATATGCGTATTTCAGACCTCCGGAGCTAGACATCTGGAAACCAAGGCCTTTTGGCTCCAAGGAATAACATCTGGGCCCTCATCTTTGTTCTAACTGGTTCCTGGATGTTTGAGAGGACACATACATCAGAGCACCGTCCTCAGTAAAAACCCCAGACCCCGAACAAAGACGAGACTCCTGCTCTTTTCCTTTTCCAGTCTTCCAGATGCTCCGACCCTCTCTCTCTCTCTCTCTCTCTCTTCAATAAACTCTACTTTCACCTTCTGCTGGCTCATGTTTGATTTCCACCCTGTGTGAAGCCAAGGACCGTCTTGGCTGGTTCGGCGACCCACCCCTTCCTCCACCCCCCCAGGTCCTTGGACCAAGCTTGCTGGCATCACCAGGAAGTGGAAGAGGTCCTGGCAAAACAAGAGGCCTCAGGGGGATCCACTGCACAAGCCCATTTACATCTACTGGGCTCAGACCCGGCCTCCTCCTCCTGCCTGCAGAAGTGTTCACGGAAGAAGGGCTCCCTGAGTATACACTGTGAACACCTCACAGGAACAGTGGCAGACACACTCTGAGGACACTTCTGACACTCCTGCACACTCTGTGTGGGCCCAGGTAAGGCCACGAACAATTCAGCAGGCAATCTCCACCCTTCCCATGGAGTTTGCCCTGGCCTCTGAGCTGCATGTGGGCATAGGTCCCAATGCTTCTCCCCTTGGGGGGTGATCAGATTTCTTTTTGAACTGCTGTCAAGGGAGGGAAAGGTTCGGCCCCTGGTACCAACTTCTGCCATAAAGGCATGTGACTTTGGTTCCAAGGAACTGACCTCCGAGGTCATACATCCAGCTGGGTGATGACGAGACAGAATCGTCCAGGCCAACTCCAATCCTGGGGCTGTGGGCTCCAGGAGATCGGCTCTTGTGCATAAACCTGTGTAGATGCAGCCCAGGAGAAAGGCCTGGAGCCCACACACTGAGGCTGCCTGCACTTGCCTGGCAATCTGTGCCAAGATTCCCCACTTCATACAGTGGGGAGGAAGATGATGTCCCTCTCCACAGAAGGATAAGGAGATGTGGATCTATTTTAAGAAGTGGCTTTTAAAAGTCGCATTCACTTTTTACCCTAAAACCTCTCCTGTTAAAAACAAAACATGTTCATTTAGAAAGTTCATAAAATGCAGAAGAATATAAGGAAAATAAAAGTTACCTGTAATCTCACAAAGTGCTAGCTTTTTGTATGGCAAAAAATCGAACCATATTGTCTCTTGAGAGATCAAGTAACCTTTTATTCTTCCTCCATTTTTGTGTTTCCGGCTGAGCACAGTGGGGGTAATTATTGAACCACTATTTCCCTCTCTTGTGTCTGGGCTTGAAGTCCTTGGCACAAGTAGGAAATAAAAGATGGCCTCAAGGCTAAATGGTGACCTTCAGGAAGTGGCCCTTACCCACTGCGTAGCAGGGGCCACCTGACCTGACCATGTGTAAGGCGGAGGGCATTCCTCCAGAAAGGCCCTCGGCTCCAGTGGCTGGCAAAGCCATCTCAACTGAGCTTCATTAGCATACTTGGGGGAGGAGGGTCTGAATTCCTCACTCCAGGGAGGCTGGCCGGCCACCTGGCCCCATTTGGCAGGGCTGCCGGGCTCCCGTGTCACTGCTGCATGGGCCATCTCGTCTGTCAAAACACTTCCTGCTGGCAGTCCAGTCTGGGACAGGAAACATGCTGTCCACACAGACCACAGCCGGCTGAGGCAGCTCTGTGAGACGCCTTCCTCTCTCCTCCCCTCTCTCCTGTTCTTCCCCCCCCCCCCCATTCTCCCATTCTCCGCCCCTCCCCTTTCTCCTGTGCCACTACTCTTCTTCTTTTCCCACAACCCCTTGTTGTTTCTTGTTTTCCCTTTTCATCATCCCCTTTATTAGACACCTTTTCATCACGGCAATGTCAGCCTTTACCAGTAGGCAGACAGACACTCAGGCCCAGTCGCCTCATGGCACATACGGGGCCACATTTCACACAGTGTATATTTGTGTATAAAGATGTTTTCTACCATACTGCTTACAGAAAGGTTGGAAGTAACATATATGTTGAGAAAAATGAGGAAAACGGTTAAATATGTTGGGGCATCAATGCCATACAATATTATTTCACCATTCACATTATGACTAATTGAGACATTTGGCCTTGTTTGAATACCATATAATACACATTTTGAAGACAACTGAGGAAATCTGAACACTGACTAATATTAACGGTATGAAGAATATGTATTTTTTAGGTGTAATAATGGCATTTAAGTTGTATCTAAAGGTGGTCCTAAAAAAAAAAAAAAAAGGTAGAGTCTTATCTTTTGACACAAACTGAAATACTTACAGATTAAAGTATATGTGCCTGGAATTTGCTTAAAAATAACCCTGAGGAGATGGCGCACCTGGCTGGCTCGGTTGTTAAACATGCAACTCTTGATTCGTGTCATAATCCCAGAGTCTTAGGATGAAACCCTGCATTGGGCTCTACATTGAACGTGGAGCCTGCCTGGGATTCTCTCTTTCCCTCTCCCTCTCCTCCTCCCCTGCTCACTCATGCTTTCATGCTCTCTCTCTCTAAAAAAATCCTGAGGGGACAACGTTAGTGGGCACTGGTTGAGATGGAACAAGATTGGCTTTGAGTTGACTGTTGGAAGTTGAGTGATGAGTATATGGAGAATTATTATACTGTTCTCTCTACATAAAGTATGTAAAGCTTGAAACTTCCTGAGATAGAAAGTTTTAAAGGAAAGACATCAAAATGCTGTTACCTTTATATTATGAAATTAGATGGGTTTAGAATTAATGAAATAGACATAGGAGCCCTAAATAGCTGGAAAAGACAACAAAACCCCTGCTTTCAAGAAATCACAGGGATAGCTCAAGTTCTGTGCTCCCTGCTGGCTGGTGTGGGTTCCATGGACTCCTCTCCATCCCCTTGGCCACCAAGGCCCAGCAGGGCACTGGCCTCATGAGCACGAGTGGACAGCCACTGCACTGAGTCCTACGGGCTTTCTCTCTTATTCTTAGATATATGGATTCACAACTGCAAGTGTTGAGTGTTACTGTGGTAAAGTTTCAAAATTCCCTTAAAAAGCAACACAGGCAGTGGCTATGTGAGAATGAACGTAAATTTCCTTCCACAGAGGAGAGCAACGGGGCAGCTGTCCAATGTTAACACAGTGTGCACTTATGGCCGGGGACAAACTTTTCACCGTTAGCATTGCACACTGACTGAAGGGTGGTGTCTCCAATGAGCAGATGGAAATGACGATGATGTGCTCTGGAAAACTGCTGGATGGCCCAGAAAGTGGCTCCAGTGTTGATGGAGACAACCCCAAAGGCAGGTATGGTGAGTCTGACTAAAGTTGTTCCATGAAACTGGGGTGTGGGAGAGGAAAAAGCAATATGAATAGGGAAATACACAACTTACCTAGTATTTGCTATAATATAGTCCTTTTCAAAGTATGTGCATCTAAATCAGTAAATTAAATGTTATAAGTAGACATGTGTGACTGTTTCATCTATATCTCTGAAAACAGACGTATCCAAATCGGCTAAAACACGGCTTTGAATTTCTTCATTTGGGGCAGTCCTAAACACTGGGCTCCATGAGGGAGAAGGCCTGGGCATGCCATGCCGACATTTACCTGAGGAAGAGCCCTTCCAGGTGGCTACGTGGCTTCAGGTGTGAACAGTCCAGGATGCAATACAGGGGATGACGTCTGGGTAGAAACACGGTTTCACCGGGATGTACTGGTGGGATGACCTGTAGTGACATGGAGAAGCTCTCCACCAGCATCCTGCCAAAGCAAGGAGCCAGAGAGCCAAGGGTCAGGAGGCACACCTGGTCTGCAGCACAGAGGGAGGCCGGGAAGGCCTGTAGGTGCCCCTGCCCTGCAGCCAGGGCCTGGTGGAGACAAGACTGAGGGGGGGGTTGGGGGTGGGGGGAGACAGCACCACCTGCTGATAAAGAAGGAGCCTATGAGATGCAGACCAAGGAACTCTGCCATCCCACTCTCTGTCATGCACCCCAATCCCTTGCTTGGGACATTAGTCCAGGAGCCAGAAGTCCTGGTCCCAAACCCAGCCCCACCCATTGGCTTTGTTCAGCTCAAACTTTCACTGAGTGCCACGACGTGTAGGTGCCAGGTGCTGAAGGATGAGTCAGTCGTGGGCTGCCACTGCACGCCTAACAGAAAGGTAAACAAAATCATCACAATAGCCTTCAGCAAGTGGGCCAGCCACAGAGCTGCCTGCACGGTGCTGCCAGGGGCAGAGGAGAGAAGCTCTGGGTGCAGCCAGGGTCAGGGAGGGCATCTGCACAGTGAAGGAGCCTGGACTCTTCTTCTGGGGCACCAGTCCTCAGGCTCTTGTGATCAGGAGGACTCCCCAGGGAGGTCTGCTAAAATGCAGAGTCCTAGGCCCTGCCCTGCCTTGTGAGTCTGATTAGTAGATCAGAGCTAGGTCCCAGGGACAGGGAAGGAACAGAAAGAAGAGGGGACACATTCTAACTCTATAGGGAGAGGGAAAAATTGTCAAGATTTAACGACCCATTTAAGAGGGAATAGTGGGTGAAAACAGCAAGTTTCAGATAGGAAGTGTGTACGTGTGTGTGCATAGGTATACACGCAGACATATGCACACACACATTCTTAGACACATTCAACAACCCACATGCATCTGATACACCCAAGTATGAGCTGGAGTCATCCCTAGGGAACAGGATTGGGGGGAGGGATAAGAGGAGACATTTCCTGTTTACTTCATACAACTGTGTTCTGCTTGATTTTTGTAGAGATATAACAGATACACAACACACATTTAACAACAATAATAGCAGCCAAATCAAACAAGCTACAAGCACTGCATCCCTCCTCTTACTGGAGGATGGCCTGAGCCCTGACAGTGAACTTGGAGGGGAGACAGCACTTGGGGCTCCCGTCAGGGTCTGGGACACAAGCAGCTGGCACTGGAAGTGGAGCAGTGTAGCTGGCAGCCCACCGCTCCCCAGATGAAATCTGTCTCACTTTCTGGCCAAGTGACCCAAGAAAAGGTGCTGACGCACGTCATAGGCTCATCCTGAGGATGAAGTGACACAACGCGTGGAAATGACATGAAAATACCAGGGAGATTCTGTCCTGTAGCCTTTTGCAAGCAGCCTCTGCAAACCATCACACAAATGGTAAAATGATCTTCTGTTTTGTTAATTTCTTTGCCATTATGAGTATTTACAGCTTAGGTTGTTTTTGTATTTTAAAAAAAGTACAAATTATTAAAAGCCTTTAGGAATTAGGCTCATCTGTAAAAGGGTCTTAGCCCTATCCCCCAAATGATCATACAAAGGGACTTTTGTGATATTAAATATAATGTATGTGCATTAAGAGTTCTGAGATGAGTCTTCCATGTCTAATTGGAGATTTCCTGTGCAGCCCCAAAGAAAGGATAAAGGATGATGTTGTAGTTTAAATATTCCCCCCTCCCCTGACCCAGCATACATAAGGTCTTTTAACTTTAAGAAATAGAGAATGTAGGATGGCATCTATTCAAGATGCAAGCCAATCCTTAGAGCATGAGGGGATGTTCTGGCTCTGGAAGCTTGTGGGGGTCTCTTCTACAATGGGCATCTGTGGCAGTCATGTGACTCCTGGTCACAGACAACTGTTCTAACAGATGGTGGCTGGCCCCCAGCCCCAGCCTCACCCCTTCCAGACCCACATCTCTCCTTGGCCCCATTCACGGACGGAAGAGGCTGCTGGCTTTGTGCATCAGTGAGTAATTTTCTTTGAAGCAGAATGTTGAACTGTCCCATCAAAAATGATCCCACATCAAAACAACCACCTCAAAGTAGCTGTTGTCAAAAAGGCTTTCTCAAAGTACTACTTGAAAATGTCAGGGGCGCCTGGGTGGCGCAGTCGGTTGAGCGTCCGACTTCAGCCGGGTCACGATCTCACGGTCCGTGAGTTCGAGCCCCGCGTCAGGCTCTGGGCTGATGGCTCAGAGCTTGGAGCCTGCTTCGGATTCTGTGTCTCCCTCTCTCTCTGCCCCTCCCCCGTTCATGCTCTGTCTCTCTCTGTCCCAAAAATAAATAAACGTTGAAAAAAAAAAATTAAAAAAAGAAAATGTCATGTGCCCAGAAAATCATCAGCAATTTCAAAGCCTGGAACACCTGGCTTAAGCCAGTTCCCCAGATAACTCCCTTCTGTGGGGAATTTCAAAACATCCAAGCCACGACTTCCAGAATCCTTCACTAGAAAGGTGAAGAGCAAGAATAGTTAATTCTTGCTATAGAGATTTTTAAAGAGGTTCAAAACGTTTCATTCCAAGGCTATCTATCCATTGAGTAGGACATCTGGGAACAAATCCATAAGTCCCAACTTAGACAATTGTGTTTATCACTTATGTTGCCACCAAGGCACTCTTGTCCAAAGAGGCCTTAGCCCAAACCCAGTGGCTCCATTCAGTCTCCACACTCCACCACATCTGCCCTTTCGGGTTCACCATGTGACTTGCATGACATCCTTTCTCTGGGTCTCTAGGCAGCATGTGAGTAGCTCTCTAACTATCTGGGATGGCTGTTCAAATCTGAACACTCACAGATTTTCACAGTGGAAAGTAAAAGTTAGGAGGCAGGGGTCCTCCCAATCAAGGCCGTGGGTCAGCAAACTACAATCTGTGGCCAACTCCTGCCCATTTCTGTAAACAAGGTTTTATTGCAACACAGGCATGTTTATTCATTTATGCATTGTCTATGGGAGCTTCCCTGTTACAACAGCAGAGTTGAGTGGTTGCAACAGAGAGTGCATGGCCCTCAAAGCCTAAAATATTTACTATTTATGAACACAGAATTTGCTGATCCCTGCTCTAGCCCAGGGATGACTATCAGAAAAACTTGAGAAAAAAAAAAGCACACAGCCAGACAAGGTACTGCTCATAACCATGTCTGGGCAACAAAAGCAATGTAAACCATTTGGAGATCCTAAAATGGAGGCCCCAAAGGAGTCTGTGTGTTATCACTCAACATTCCCTTAGTAAGTGGAGGCAGAATGCGACCTTAGAGTATGCATGAAAACCTGACCTATCATTGCTTAGACCAATGCTTACTAACATAACTCAGGCTGACAGAAAAAGCAAAGCCTGAACAGGCAGATGCTCCAGGGCATGGTGACCAACTGCCTGCAGCCACATGGTCACATGAGGTGACCTCATCCCCTGCAGACTCCACCCCAGCCCCTCCTGGAAACTGGGTTCCTGAGGAAAGGAGGGAGGGAGGAAGGTGGGGGGGGGGGGGGGGGGGGGAAAAAAAAGAGAGGGGGGGATGCCGGGGGGGGACGGAAGAAAGCAAGAAAGGATGAAAGGAGGGAGGGAGGGATGGAAGGAAGGAGGAACCAAGTAAAAGAAAGACATACAGAAAGATCTATTCTGACTTCATTTCCCCCTTCAGCTACTGTGCATTTTTCTCTTCCCACCTCTCCTCTTGTTCTCCTGTGGGACTATTCCAGTTAGGTTCGTCCCCAGCAACCCACCAGAGCTGCTTTTTGTCAAGGTCACCATGACCTCTACATTGTGCCCTTGGGCCCCTGTTCTTCTCTCTATACACTCGCTCCCCAGGTGATCTCATCCAATTTGTGGCTTTAAACATCACCTACACACGGTGCTTCCCAAGCCTGCCTCTCCAGATGAGGGTATTCAAGCTGTCTCCCTGGTCTCACCTCTGGGATCCCCCAAACGAACTCCTGATCCCACAACTGCCCCACCCCAGCCTTCGTCACTTAGTCTTCCCCAAGTTAGACAACTCCAAACTTCCAGTTGGTCAGGCCCAATCCTAGGGGTCCCTTTCAGCTCCCCTCTTTCTCCCATACCCTCCCCATCCAATTCACCAACAAATCCTCTCAGTTCCACCCTAAGAATATATCCAGAATTTGCCTACTCCTTAACCCCCCCACCCTCACTCCCAGCCACCCTCACTTCTCAAGATTACTGCCATGGCTCATTTGCCTGTCTTTCTTCTTCTGCCCTCGCCACACCCCACCCCCATGTTCCCCAGTCTATTCTTGACACAGAGGCAGAGGATCCTGCTTGGAGCAGTGGCGGCCGGCTCACACAGGGGAAAAGCTCAGATGTCAAGCCCACCCTTATTCTCCCTGACCTCCTCTCCCCTGCCCTCCCCTCCAAGGCTGCAGGTAAGTTCCCCCTGCAGGGCCCCCAGAGCTGCTTCACCCCTCCTTCTTAGGGCTCTGCCAGAAGCCAGCCAGCTGCTCACCGAGGCCTTCCCTGACCCTCAAGCACAACCTCAGGCCTTCCACACTCCTTATACCACCTCTCTCTCCTTTCTCCTGAGCACTCGTCACCTATCTTCACTCAGGAGGGCAGAGATTTCTGTCTGGTTTTGTTTTTGCTGAATCCCAAGGGTCTGTAGAAGAGCCTGGCACAAAGTTGGCATTAATAGATGCTTTCTGGCTGGCTGGCTGGCTGGACAGGTGGACAGACGGGTGGCTAACAGGGTACCCTGAAGATGGATTCAACTGTGGTCCCTCAGCATCTCTGAGACACACTGGTTCAGGTAACACCAGCCCACCCCCAGCCAATGGCCCAGTTAAATCATGGCCAGGAGACCCCCGCCCACATGACAGCACTGACAAAAGCCATCTTCCTTTCTCCAGACAGGGGAAGATGAAAAATGTCATATGGCCATATTCTCCCCTTGAAAGACAGTTTTCTCTTAGACTGTAGTTTTGTGCAGTTATTTTCCCAAGAGATCTGGTTCTATAAATCTGAGCAGACAACCGGGGCGGAGCAGGCTGTGTTTTTATAACTCATGTCCTCAAAGGCCCCCACTGGACGCTGACACACAGTAGGTAATCAAATATTTCTGTAACCAATGAATGAATATAGGGTTTTTTGGGGGTTTTTTAAAATGTAGGTTTAAGAAAAGGAGGCAGCTTGATAACTCATAAATGTACACAAATTGCTGGTAAACTGTCTAAAACCGAGAGCCAGTTGACAATCCTCTGCCTTGAGAGGTGGATGCAGGGACTGCCCCCGCCCCCCCCCCAGAGTGGATGGGCCCCTGCCCCTTCCTGTGCCCACTACCCCCCACCTGTGCTCAGGTGTGAGAGGCGCCTCATCTTCAGCCAGATCCAGGGAGTAGAGGTCAGGACAATCATGCAGAAGCAGCTTCTCTCGCTCCTGCCCCAGGGCCTGTTCCCTGCAGAGAGATGAGAGCCGACAACAGAGGTCAGCGCTGTCCCCAGTCATCCAACCCTGATACTGGGTTAGGCCTAGGAATGGGGGCCACGGCCCTGAACTCCTGCATAAAGGCCTTCAATGTTAGATTTGGACGGGGCAGGGGAGAGGCATCACGTTGCATCCATTGCGCTCTCTCTGAATAAGCAGATAAGAGCAGACAGGCCTCAAGGAAAGTTTTCACCACACAGCTTCAAACATGCCTTTGTTTGTGTGCCTTGTTTTGGATTTGCCCACTTTTTTTTTTTTTTTAATTTTTTTTTTTTTTAACGTTTATTTATTTTTGAGACAGAGAGAGAGAGAGACAGAGCATGAACGGGGGAGGGGCAGAGAGAGAGGGAGACACAGAATCAGAAACAGGCTCCAGGCTCCGAGCCATCAGCCCAGAGCCCGACGCGGGGCTCGAACTCACGGACCGCGAGATCGTGACCTGGCTGAAGTCGGACGCTTAACCGACTGCGCCACCCAGGCGCCCCTGGTTGGATTTGCCCACTTTTTAACACATCGAGGCCTGTGCCTAGCTCCTTCTCCTCCTCCTGGGGTCGGGCCACACTGACCTGGAGAGGTCCCAGGTTCATGGCTCCCAGAGCCCCTGACACATGGCCTGCCTCTCCAGCCCCAGGGGCAGTTCTCCAGGTCCTGCTCATTCCCTTCCTCTCCCTACCCTGTGGCCTCTAGCCCCAGAGGTCTGTTCCCACCACAGCCTGCATGCCTACCATTATCTTGCTAGATACCTGACTCCCTCACCTCCCTCCTGCCCTAACCACACTAAACTCCCAAGCAGGTACAAGTGCATCCTTCGGCCTTCTGGATCCTTGCTTCCACAACAACCAGGGAGCCTCCCCAGCCCTTGTCCTCCCCCTCCAGGTGCTCGCCCTGGCTTTCCCCAAAGGTCCTCAGTTCCTAAAGATTTCATCTCCAGCCCAGGCCGCTGTCTGGAGTTCAGATCCTCCTAGCCAGCACAACTGGATGATTTCCAGCTGAATGTGCCCAGGATCCTCTGAAGCCACACGTCTGGGTCTGAATTCCCTTCCACACAGGTCCCAGAGCCCAGCCACCCAGGTAAGCAGACTCATCACAGCCCTACCACCTTCCTCCCGAGACCCCACCCAATCACTGTTCACCCTCCTTCCTCTCTCACCCTTCCCATCCATTCTCCATAATGTAGCCTGAGCGATCTCTGAAACACAGCAGGAATCACATCACTATCTCCTTAAAATTCTCCCAACTCAACCTTGTGTTCACGAGGCTTCTCGTGACCCAGCCCTGGTTCACATCTTGGCTGTACCTCCTGCCATGTGGACCACCAACCCCTACTCTGCAGTGCTGAGAATTCCAGTTCTAGTCAGCCACCAGAATTATCTGCCGTACCCACCTTCACATGTGTGGTCACCCATGCTGCCCCCCAAATCTTCTTATCCTCCAAAGTTCAGAGATAAGGATACCTGTGGGGAGCCTCTTCTGACCCCCAGGTTAAATCAGGTGTCAGTATTCCAGGCCCCTCCACAGCAACTTTCTAGCATGGGAGATAGTGGAATCATTCAGTTAGATCTGCAGGTGAGAGGCTCCTGTACAATCACTTCCACCTATCTGGCACCTGGCACAGGACCTAGCCGAGTGAGAACCTCCCAGTGCCAGGTGCCTCGATGAGCTTTACTTGCCTGCATCACCATCGTGGCAATAGTTAGGCTATACATCTCCATCAAAGCTGCCTGCCTTTTCCCCTTCTCGCCCACGGAACACTTGAGTGGGAGCTGAGAGGCTGCCACACGGGCATGAATTGGGCAGAAGAGAGCAAGGGATTCTCCTTGCATCCCACCCACAGTAACCCTGAACAAGGGCTCTGGATGTGGCAGAGGTCTGGGGCTCTCTGCCTTCAAGATGCCCCCCTGCAGGGGCGCCTGGGTGGCGCAGTCGGTTAAGCGTCCGACTTCAGCCAGGTCACGATCTCACGGTCCGTGAGTTCGAGCCCCGCGTCGGGCTCTGGGCTGATGGCTCGGAGCCTGGAGCCTGTTTCCGATTCTGTGTCTCCCTCTCTCTCTGCCCCTCCCCCATTCATGCTCTGTCTCTCTCTGTCCCTAAAATAAACGTTGAAAAAAAAAAAATTAAAAAAAAAAAAGATGCCCCCCTGCAACTCGGCTGCCATACCACGTGCTCACTATTGATCAGAGCACACAGGACGCTCCAGGAGACACGCCGTGTAGGAGTGCAGCAGGCTGCTTGATCCTGAGGCAAGTATGCTGGGAGTCTTAGAGGACAACCCCCCCCCCCCAAATTGCTGCCAACCCCATAGAATGAACATCCCAAGATGGACCCTTTTCCACGCTTACCGCTTCTCCTGTAGTAAGTAATCTAAGCTATTGGCATAGCTCTCCGAGGCTCCAGAGGTGAACTAGAGAAACAGGAGGTGAGAATGGGAGACAAACAGAAAGACAGACAGATAGAAGGGGAAAAAGAATAAAACTTAATCTAAATTAAGCCCTTTATTTATTTTATTTTTCTGAATAGGCAACCCATTCAAATGATTAAAAAATCAAGAGGTATAAAGGCATATAGTAAGATGTCTTGCCTCACCTGCATCCCCAGCCAGCCAGGTCCCTCCCCACAGGTGACCACAGGTGTTTGCTCCTTGGTGTGCTTTCAGGGACATTTTATCCACAGACAAGCAAACACTAGTACATTATAGACTCCCTTCTGCCACCACCCGTAACACAAATGGCAGCAAACTATGAACCCTATTTTATACTTTGCTCTGTTCAATGAGTAGGATGTCTTTCATTTTTAAAATTATTTAAATTCGGGGCGCCTGGGTGGCGCAGTCGGTTGGGCGTCCGACTTCAGCCAGGTCACGATCTCGCGGTCCGGGAGTTCGGGCCCCGCGTCAGGCTCTGGGCTGATGGCTCGGAGCCTGGAGCCTGTTTCCAATCCTGTGTCTCCCTCTCTCTCTGCCCCTCCCCCGTTCATGCTCTGTCTCTCTCTGTCCCAAAAATAAATAAACGTTGGAAAAAAAAATTTTTTTTTAATTATTTAAATTCAAGTTAACATACAGTGTAGCATTGGTGTCACAAGTAGAACCCAGTGATTCATCACTTACATATAACACCCAGTGCTCATCCCACCAACTGCCTTCCTTAATGTCCATCACCCATTTGGCCCATCCCTCCATCCACCTCCCCTCCAGCAACCCTCAGTTTGTTCTCTGTATTTAAGAGTCTCTTATGGTTTGCCTAATTAATAGTATGTCTTGAGGGCATTCCATATCAATACTAAAGAGATAAGTTAAAAAAAAACAAACATTTCGGGGCCCCTGGTGGCTCAGTCGGTTGAGCGTCCGACTTAGGCTCAGGTCATGATCTCACGGTCTGTGAGTTTGAGCCCTCCATTGGGCTCTGTGCCGACAGCTCAGAGCCTGGAGCCTGTTTCGGATTCTGTGCCTCCCTCTCTCTCTGACCTTCCCCGTTCATGCTCTGTCTCTCTCTGTCTCAAAAAAAATAAATGAACGTTAAAAATAAATAAATAAATAAAACACCACAAACCTTTCTAATGTAGGACTAGAACATAATATATTAATTCCCTCGTGGTGGGCATTTAGATTACTGACAATCTTGGGCTATTACAATAATTAAGTCCTATTCTCAGAATAAACTTCCTGGATCCGTGTCCCCATAGTCTACCTATAAACAGCTATATATTCTCACCTAGCTTAAAGCTCATCACTAAAGTTTCCATTTAGGCATGTCAATCCACTGACTAGAGTTAGCCCAAGTCTTTGTGCCTGGCCTAGCCTAGACCCAGGCACCGAGGTCCCTCTTTTGCCCAGGTGGATAACCCCAACCTTAGCCTCAAGAGCCTTGAAGGCTCCCACACAGAAGTGGGATCAAATTTGGCACCACCCCAAGCCATCTGTTAGCAGGGACTAGTAGCAGATATAAGGGGAGAGATGCATCCTAGCCACAAGGGTTCATAGATGGGGAGAGGTTGGGGGTATGCAGTTGAGGAGGGATGGTTAGGGGCAGGTGGCCGACAAAGGGCAGTTGGGATATGGCCAAGGGAGAATGGCCAAAAAGGGGGTGGTCTGGAGGTGACTGAGGAGAGGTGGCAAGGAGAGGAGGCCAAGGGGTGGCTATTGGCTTACCAAGGTGTGGGTGTCCACCACCGGAGCTGTAGCCTTCTGGCTTGGGCCTGCCATGTTCCCGAACAGCTTCTCCAGTGAGGTCAGTCTCCCCTGGGGGTCCAAGTCCTGGGGCTCCTGGCCTAACTCCTCAGGCAGCTGGGGAGCCCATGTCCTCAGGCCCTGAGGGCCCCCTGGGCCTAGCCACCTCTGTGCTGGGGCCCCCCTGCTGGCCTGTGGTGCTCTCAGGTTCAGGAACTCTATGGGTGGTGGGCTCCAATCAGTGGGGAACATGTCCCCGGCTGCATGCACTTTGCGCTTCTTTGACAATTTGGGAGTTGGAGCTGAGGTGGGACTGCAGCGCCGCCGGGTGGGGTGGAGGAGCCCCTGGTGCAGAGCATGGTCGAAGCAGCTGCTCTTCAGGTTAGGCAACAGGGTGGGTGCCACAGCGGCTGCCTGGACCCCTGTGGAAGGGACAGAGTATTATGGTATTCCACCACCTGCCCACCACCATCCCAGCCACCGTGCCATGCTGGGTGAGGAGAGGGGACAACTCAAGATTGCTGTGGGCAGGATGCAAGGGGAACACCTCAACCGTGGGTTGTCCACTTCCTTGTGGCCCTAAGCCTCAGAATGGCTCTACCTGTACAGGTAAGAGTGCCTACCTTCTCTCTGAGGAAGGGCTAGCAGCGTCTTCTGGGTCCTGGCCATCTGCAAACTGCTGGACGTTCTGTCCTAGAAAGAACGGCTTGTCAGGTGAGGTGAGCCTCCAGAAGAAAGCTAAATGCTCTGAAGTCCTAGATTCCCTAGAGAGGAGGGCAGGGCCCACTGGTGCCCAGGAGGGAAATCCCCCTCCAGTTCTACCCCAAGGACCAAGCTTGTGCACCATGAAGATCAAGTTGCTGAGGTGAAAGGGGCTCCATGTGACCTCTCATTTCAAGGATGTGATAGGCAAGTGTAAGGACATCAACATTTTTTTAAAACCTGCATAAAATCAAAACTAGCATAAGTCCACAGGAAAGTTGTGTACTGAGAAGACACTCTGCACGTCTTGCTTGTTTGGTGTCACCCCCATAAAGGTTGTTTGCTCCCAAGGGACAGAGCAGGGCTATTTAGTCCCCGCCATTTTCCCAGAACCAGCACAGACCTGGCACACAGTAGGGCTTGGTGCGTTTCTGTTGAATGAATGAGTTAAAGATACCCAGAGGTGGTACAACAAGCCCCCTCCAGTGTTAGGAGCTGCCCATCCTCAGCTAAGATGGGCCATGCCTCACACACACAGACACCTCTCATCATATCAGATTCAGGATCAGATCAACTGAAATGCAGATGAAAGGCGAATATCTGAATGAGCTAACGACCAAACGAAACAACCATTTACAAAAAACACAAACACTAACTCAACCAGGATTCAAACTCAACAACAGTGGAAGACACTCAAATCAATATGACTCTGAAGTATTCTTCAATGACAATGAAATCATAAAAAATTAAAAATTCATAATAACAAATGTTGACAAGGCTATGAAGAAATATATTGCTGTTAATACTGTAAAATGATTTATTCTTTTTAGAGAGCAATTGATCAACATAAAAATAACTGCAAGATGCGCCTGGGTGGCTCAGTTGGTTAAGCGTCTGATTCTTGATTTCGGCTCAGGTCATGATCTCACCATTCATGAGATGGAGCTCCGCATGGGGCTCTGTGCTGACAGCGGAGAGCCTGCTTAGATTCTCTCTCTCCTTCTCTCCCTTTGTCCCTTCCCCACTCTCTCTCTCTCTCTCTCTCAAAATTAATAAATAAACATTAAAAAAAAAATAACTACAAAAATGTTCACACCTGGGAGAAGGGAACCCCAGAAACTTGTTCCTCCACGAAAGCAATAATTAAGCGGACAAAATCTGTCAGAACCAATACTTACAGAACTCTGGAATCTAATAAGAAACTGATAACAACCAGGGAACGAAGGCTTAATGAAGAAAGAAGCTGCTAAATTTCAGTAAAATTATGTTTGGGCTTTTGAACTTACCCACCTATCATCCTCCACCCCCAGCTAAGAGGCAGTTGTGGAGGCTGGGTTCCCGGTGTGGCTTGCTGGTGCCACGGGGGCAAGATAAGCTTTACTCTCAAAGAATTGTGGTGGTGTGTTTTAGCCTGTCCCCTGGCGGCTCCCGGCTCCCCCGGGGGATCAACTCATCAACTCTGGGTCTTACCTTTGTTTTATCCCACTTGGAACTTTCTCAGGGCTGGAGTGGCCTCCAGGGCAGTACTTGTTGAAAGTATTTAAAAACAAGGGGACCACCACAACCACCTGGGGCAAGGGATAACAGGTAGGGCAAGCAGCAGACAGTCTGCAAAGTCTGAAAAGGAAGAGGCTGAGGAAGGAGATACATGTTGGAGTAAAAGTTTTAAAAAGCTCCCACGTAAACCCGAGAGTCCAGAAGGCCACATGATTGCCCAGGGTTAACGTGTGCTTAGGAAAGACCTGAGAAGACCATAAGTTTTTACCTCTGGCTGATCATTAGGCTCCACATAAGCAGATAGTGAAGGCTTAGGCAGAGTTGCATAAGGTCTGCCTAAACTTTGAAGGAGTACTCCAACACACAACCAATCTCTAAAGACCAGAAGAGTTTTATTGTGGTGGTGGCGGCAGCAGCATTTAAGGGACTTTCTAACAACTTACCAGTTAACCACCAAGTTAAAGGAACTGGGACTTTAGTGACTACACACAACAAAATAATAATGTCTTTACAAAAATAGCTTAGAAAAATCACTAAACAAACAACTACAACTCACAGCAACCAGCAACAGCAAATTCAGGTGGGGGGTAATCCTATTTACATAGTTACTGCATTATAATAGTCAAAGTGGATAATTTTCAACAAAAATTACAAGGAATACAAAGAAATAACAAAGTATGGCCCATTCAAAGACAGAAAAAAGAAAGGAAAGAAACTGTCCCTAAGAAAGCCCAGGCACTGGACTTACTAGACAAAAACTTTAAATCAACTGCCAAATATGCTCTAAGAACTGAAGGAAATGATGACAAAGAACTAAAGAAACCAGGGGAGAATAAGGTCTCACCAAATAGAGAATATGAATAAAGATAAAGAAATTATAAAAAGGAAGTAGACAGATGTTCTGGAGTCGAAAACTATAAAAATTGAAATGAAAAACTAAGTAGAAGGCTTCAACACCAGATGTGAGCTAGCAGAAGAATCAGTGAACTTTTATTTGGGTCAATTGAGATGATCAGTTCTGAGGAACAAAATGAAAAAAAGAATAAGATGAACAGGGCCTCGGAGACCAGTGGGACACCATTAATTATTATCAATAGATGCATAATAGGAGTCCAAGGAGTAGAGACAGAGATGGCAGGGGTGGGGTGGGGTGGGGTAGAGGGGGACAGAAAGAATATTGCACTTCCAAGAAGCTCAACAAATTCCAAGTAGGATAAATTCAAAGAGATCTACACCTAGATACGTCATAATGAAACTTTTAAACACCAGGGAGAGAATCTAAAAAGCAGGAAGAGACAATGCTTCATCACCTACAAGGGAGTCTCAATAAGATTAACAGGTGATTTCTTATCAAAAACCACGGACATCAGCAGACAGTGAGATGACATAGCCCAAGTAAAGACAGAAACGACTATAGACCAAGAATGCTGTCTCCCACAAAACTATCCTTCAAAAAAGGAGAAATGAAGATATTCCCAGATAAACAAAAACTGAGAAAATTTCTTTCTAACAAATTTGTTCTATCAGAAATACGAAAGTATATCCATCGGGGTAAAGTGAAAGGAAGGATATTAGAGAGTAACTTGAATCCACATGAAAAAAAAAAGAACAGTGATAAAGATAAGAACATGGGTATACATAAAAGACAGTATAAATGTAGTTTTTATTTGTAACTCTTTTTCTCCTATCTTATTTAAAATACAACTGCATAAAGCAATAATTACAAATCTGTCTTTATGGGAAAACAATGTCTAAAGATATAATTTACATGACAATAACAGCACAAAGGAGGGGGTGGGAATAGAGCCATATAGTTGTAAAGTTTTGTATCTTATTGAAATTAAGTTGGTATTAATCTGAACTAGACTGTGAACTATGTGATATTTATAGGTAAGTAAAAATGCAAGTATTACTGTATTTTTGGTTTGTAATTCTTCTCCTTTCTGTATTGATTTAAAAGACAAATGCATAGGGGCGCCTGGGTGGCGCAGTCGGTTAAGCGTCCGACTTCAGCCAGGTCACGATCTCGCAGTCTGGGAGTTCGAGCCCCGCGTCGGGCTCTGGGCTGATGGCTCAGAGCCTGGAGCCTGTTTCCGATTCTGTGTCTCCCTCTCTCTCTGCCCCTCCCCCCGTTCATGCTCTGTCTCTCTCTGTCCCAAAAAATAAATAAACGTTGAAAAAAAAAAAAAAAAAAGACAAATGCATAAAACCACAATTACACATCTATGTTAATCAACACAACACACAATGGTTCAAAGATGTAAACTGTTACAATAAAAACATAAAGGGGAGGGATGGAATTGTATAGGAGCAGAGTTTTTGTATATATTGAAGCTAAATTGGTAATTTTTTTAAAGTTTATTTATTTATTTTGAGAGAGAGAGAGAGAGAGAGAAAGTGGGGAAGGGGCAGAGAGAAGGAGAGACAGAATCCCAGCAGGCGCTGTGCTGTCAGCACAGAGCCTGATGTAAGGCTCGAACTCACAAACTGTGAGATCATGACCTGAGCCAAGATCAAGAGTTGGACGCTTAACCGACTAGGCCACCCAGGAGCTCCTGAAGCTAAACTGGTATTAATTCAAACTAGTTTGTTACAAATTTAAGATATAAATTATACTTTCCAAGGTAGCCACTAATAAAATAATTGGAAACAGAAATGAGCAAAGAGCCAAAATGGTACACTACAAAACAGCCAATTAAACATAAAAGAAGGCAGTAATGGAGGAACTGAGGAACAAAAAAGATGTAAGGTACACAGGAAACAAAATAGCATAATGGCAGATATCCTTTCATATCAATAACTAGCTTAATTGTAAATGGAGTGAGCTCTCAAATCAAAAGGCAGATATTACCAAAATAAATTAAAAAAAACATCCAACTATATGCTATCTGCTAAAGACTCACTATAACCACATAGGTTGAAGGTGAAAGGAAGAGATACCCCATGCAAATAGAGACCCAAAGACAGCTAAAGTAGCTATACATTAGTATTTGTCTGGTATTAACCAGACAAAATAGACTTTAAGTCAAAAATTACTGAGACAAAGAAAGCCTTTATATATTGATGTAAGGGTCATTCATCAAGAAGACATAACAATAAGGGGTGCCTGGGCAGCTCAGTCAGTTAAGCATCCATGACTCAGGTCATGATCTCACAGTTTGGGAGTTTGAGCCCCATGTCGGGCTTGCTGCTGTCAGTGCAGAGCTGACTTTGGATCTTCTGTCCCCCACCTCTCTCTGCCCACCTGACTCTCATGTGCTCTCTCAAAAATAAACAAACATTAAAAAGAAAAGACATAACAATTATAAACATACATGCAACTAAAAACAGAGCTCCAAAATATGGAAGCAAATTGGCAAAGCTGAAGGGAGAAATAGTTACAAAATCATAGCTGAAGGATTCAATATCCTCTTTTCAATAATGTAACTAGATAGAAGATCAAAAGAAAATATAGGACCTGAACAACACCGTGAACCAAGTAGAAATAACAGACA